AATCCCCATTGAATCCGGCCCGCAAGTGTCATCCTGTTGGTGAAAGGAGCGATGTTTGTCAACCTCGCATACACCGCAAGAAACAGACAGTACCGTTTCGCGTGAACTGTTCTTTGCTTGCAAGCATATTGTAAGTATATCCTACGACGATACCCGATCTTTATCCAATGTTTCCTGCCTTGAAAATACGATGACCGATGACCCTTAACAAAGACCACTTGTTGGAGAAACTCAACTCGGGACCCAAACATCGCAGCGCCAATGATACTTAACCGGAGGGTAGCAAACTGGTCTACTTGAGCTCAAGAACGAAACGTGCCGCTCATCATGAGGAGGAGGAGGAGGAGGAGTGCGAACCATTTTCATTGCGGATCATCCATGTACAGCATTGAACTTGTGAGCTTTCTTGGTTGAGAAACGAGTGCAAATTTCTTTTTTGCAGCACTTGGTCACTTAGGATTCTTGTGGAACTTCAGGAAGCCTTTAATACCCAAAAAACGCATTCTTGGAGAGGAATGGTGTGTGAGGTGAACTGGCTGCCGCTGAAGCTGCCCCTCAGCATCACTAGCAGTGCAGGCCGCGGAACACCACCAGCTGAGAAGGTGTTGTGGGACAGAACTTGAGGCTGGTGGAGGACTAGATCAAGAAACCGTGTTCTAGATAGATTTCTCTTGTGACCTGTGACATGTGCCTTATAGAGTTTGCAACTTCGAAAAGCTTCAGCAGCCAGCAGCACCGCTGTAAAGAGAGCATTCATTCCCCTACCTACCTGACGTACCCAAGGGTTCAGCTACTGAAAAAGCATGTTGTTTGTGTTGGCTGAAGTGGATGAACCACATGCGACAGCAGCAACCATTTTACGTTCGCATGGAGCCAAAGGGTTCCTGTTTTTTGGGTTGAACAGAACCAGCGACTGGAAAGGGTTTTCCGTTTTGTTTTGCACTACATTGTTCCCACTGAAAGAAGACCAGCATGTCGAATCCCTGTAGTGGGGAGGTCCTCCAGGCGGAATTTTGTTCTCCGGTCAGCAGAAGATAGCGGCCATAGCTGCCATAGCTGTAATCGTGTTTGTTCTCCGCTTTCTTCTTGTAGCTTTAGCAGGTGTGAGCGCTGCGCTGGCCCTTCGCCAGATCCTGCCATCCTCTGCCAAGAGCATGAAGGTTTTCGGCCGTGCGGGGAATGGAAAAGGGGCGGTCTCAACGAGGTCCGTGTTCTCAGTGACGAACACCCAGAGTTGGTGTTTCTTTTATTTTCCTGCAACGTATCAGTACCTGCAAAACATCCAATGAAAGGGATGAAAGCAAATGAAGCACAACCCTGATTGGAAGATGGATGTGTTTGGTCAACTCAGCAAAGTGGTGGAAGAACGACAGCGAAATCATCTGAGTTTGTCTCAAATGAACACCAAAGTGTTGGCCAGTTCAGTTGAAAAATAGCTGAACATTTGTTGGGCTAGGGGATTGCCAGATGTTGTGTTCAAACATGACCCTCGTTTGGTTCCTAGTAGTATGGCCAGGAGCCCCTAGTAGCGTCCTTGTTCCTAGTAGCTCCTAGCACCAGGCCTTTGCCCCAACAGTATCCCTGGTCTTTCTGGGTCACACTCCGAGCTCGGCATCCGTGGCTTCTCGGCCATGGCTTGTGACAGGTGCAGATCCTATGCGGAGACAGCGCCACAACCCGAGTACTGCGAAATCTGGGCTGCGCTCAGGGGAACTGCTTCAAGGAGAGCCGTGCCTTGAACGGCCAGGTTGTGTGTTGAACCAATATTAACACAGAGACATGAAAGAGGAAACGACCCCATGATCAAGAGACTTAAACGCATGGCGCATGGATTCCAACTATTTCATACTATTTCCATCATTTGTGTTTCCTATGCCGGAGCCCGCAAAGCAGTGGTAGGTTGACATTTCTGATAGAAGATGTCGTGAGTTTTGATGGGGCACCCTACAAGATGCATCAGTAGATTTTGGGCCAATGTTGACAACATTATGATGAAAGTCTCAGGCCCAAAACTGTACCCGAAAGGATTTGGATTGCTAACACTTGGCAGGGAGGTGCCCTGATCAACATCCTGTTGCTGCAGCAAGAGGCTAAGTCCTCGTGCTATTCGAAGCCCGCGGCGTGCGTCTCGAGACCGGTGCCGGAGGACTTCAGCGACTTCGACCAGGTGAAGCCCGGGCCCTCAAAGCCGGTTGAAACGACGAAACTCGGGCGCCCCTCCAGGTGCCAAGGATGAGAAACTGGGTCAAAAGGGGAAGGAGACGGACCTGACCATCCCAATGACTTGTTGGAGTGGAGCTTTTGTTCAGGGTCACAACGGATGACATTAGATGTTGGCAAGCTGGAAGGATGTGACACAGACGCAGAGCTCGAAGCTAGACTGTTTGGGTGAAGCACCGGCGCGAGCCATGGGAACTTCAATTTCCTTCGTTAGGTACTATGGATTGAGTGCCTTTTGGCTATAACACATAGCAACATAACCATGAGCAGAATCTGAACAGGTGTACGGTAAAAATACTGCTCTGTAGGAGGTTTGACAGGCAGTCTTGGAACATGGAGCCGCTGAAGAACTTAGCAATTTTGTTTCAATGTGCAATCCAGAGAGCGCTGCTGAGGCGCCAGACATGTGGTCTGCTGAAGGAGCAGCCTGGCATTCAATGAATGTCCAGTTGCAGTTCTGAATCTGATGACCTGGAACTGAGTTACCTCTTTCATTGAATTCCAAGCCTCGCCTCTTCTTATCAAGAGTAGCATGGGTTCTTGATATGTCTTGATGTGGTTTGTAGGCTTTCGTAAGTCTTTACACCTCACTCAATGCTTCGAAAGTCCTACCCGGCTAAGGAAGAGGCGAAAACCATCCCTCATGAATCCTCTTGAAAGTGTTCAGGAAGTTTTCTAACTGCACTGAAACTGTTTGCACAATCTCACTTGTGGTGTGTACGAAGGGGACAGAGAACTTGTGACGGCTGACTGTGCGAACGTAGCTTGAAAACCATCGTACACCTCGGGATGGTTGCATGCCAGGTCTCGGTTTCCCAGTCTGTTCCTCCACAACTTTGCTCTTACAACTTTTGCACCCTAGATTGCCCTGCCGTTCTTTGAGGCATCTCTTCCACGGTACTTTCGAGGCGGGGCCGTCAGCCGGACACAGGGGCGAAATGATCAAATTTCTCATCGACTTCTCTTGACAGACCTTTTCCCCACAGTAACAAGAAGCTACTACGGGCTCCTGGCCTTACTACTAGGAGCAAGGGTGCTACTAGGGGCTCCTGGCATCGCTACTAGAAGCATTCTTACTACTAGTAACAAAAAGCTTGTTCACAGGTCGCCAAAGATCGTTGTCAGGCGATCCCCTTGCTGAAGTACACCTTCGACGTCCAGACTTCACAGCGCTTGCAAGGCCGTGCTGTGGCTTTTCAGTCGTGCCATGTGTGCGCACACATATAAGCTGTGTCTTGCAGTCTTGTGAGAAGCAAAACTCATGCAGCATCACACGACAGAAGGCATCGAGCAAGACCCCAGTGCCAAGCACTTCTTGAAGATTCAGGAGCTCAATTAGTTTGGTTGGACATTTTCAGATTGAGAGTTTGATACTTGTCGCAGCGGCAACAAACGAAGACATGGATGTCAGTTTTCACTGTGCTCTTTTCAACCAACCGGTTGAACACGCAGGAGCACTTGAGGAAGAACCGACCGCCGATCGCCTTGTGGCCACCTTGGAGTGTTTGCCAAGCTCTTCTAGTTGAGTTGACTAACATCTTATTTATTTTCAATGGCTACTTAGACGTGTTTCGGCTGGGTGACTTGCCGCTTCTCGGTTTGCATCCGATCATGCCGTCATGTTTCCTCCTATATGCCAGTGCTTTTTCCCAGCGCAGCGAGTCAGGCTGGAAGTCACTGACTGGGGCAAAGTTGTCAAGCACCAGCAGCGCACAGGACCCGGTGATCGAATGAACGGAGCGCAGAAGTGCGCGCTGAACATATTTTTACTGACATACTGTTTTGAGCGTGCCCATGTAAATAGAATATGGGTTTGTTCGTACACCTTTTAAATCCGATACACTTGTGGGTCTATACTCCTGTTCAAGCTGCTCTTTCTTGCCTATAGAATTGGTTCATCACCATTGACGATCCGCCCATCTGCCCAAGGTCTGCGCGACTTCTTCGGTCCGGGTCTCGGAGATGCAGAACTGGTTGACCCGGGTTGGCACTGGCTCAACTGGTGCGGCGATCGGATGCAGATTTACATCACGATCACATCAGATCAGATCATCCCAATTTGAGCATTTCCATGCATTTCAATTTCCCTCAAAACACATCCTGGAGTGGGCAGTTCGAGCACTTTCTTCCAGGACCTTTTGTGCGTCCTGATTAGAGTGGTCCATTTTGGGAAATGTTTGTCTGCGTTATCCGAATGCCTTACCTAAACCACTTGATTCTACTGCCTCATTTGACCGAGATTGGTCAGACGGTTTGCTGCGATGCAATTGTGTTAAGGCCTGAAATTATGTGATCTGGAAACAGGATTGAGGCTCACAACCAGCAGAAACCGTTTTGGCATTCTGCTTTCATTTGCCATTTGGAGAGGACACATACTTCTGTTTGTGTGTCTCTCCCCGCCTCTTTATAAGTCTAACCATGTATCTATCCTATGTAGCTTTTGTATGTGCTCCGGAACCTCCGATGCCGTCGTGTTGAGACTGTGTGTTTCATAACAGTAAACACTTAGGAGGACTTGCTGCTTAGAACATCTCAAGCAGGAACATTTTTTCTTCAGAACGCGGTTGTGCGCAAGGATCCGACCCAGGCACATCCAGGTACGAGGTGATTTGATTTGTTAGTACTGAGGTTATTGGCATTATTGGTTATAGGAGCAAATCCCGGTGGAAGCAGCATTCGGTTCATCTGAAGCAGCTGGAGGAATTTTTGCCTTGCAAAGCGACCACTCCATGGCAGGAGTCTTTGCACCACTGTTTTGCTGAGGGAAGAAGATTGAAGACATGGGGGAGTACCTCTTTGAGTGCAGGGCCATGACTTTGCAGCTCTGAAGCAAAATCAGATGGCAGTTTGTGATTTAACCTTCAAGCTCTGATTGCAGGGCAGCAGTTTGGGACAGCGTTCCTAGGCTGGGTTGAGTTCAAGTGGGTGTTCGAGTGCATTCTTGTGACTGGGCATCCTGAAATGATAGTGGTGTGACAACTCCCCTTCAAAGGGCTTGCCGAACATATTGCAACATTTTTTGAGCAACATCCACGGTGTTGACTGGCCAGAGTATTTAATTGTTTTGTTTTGAATCAATGAGTTAACAGCTGTGAGACGCTTTGGCCTGTGGTGCTGTGGTTGTCTAAACCACCATTTGGACAGCAACAAAGCATTCCCCAAGGCCAGGGCCATTGACGGGTTCCGTGCTGCACATCTTCTTGGTGCTGGAGGCCCGACACAATGGCCCATGCGATGCCAGACGCAATGGCCCGACCCGAGCGATGTGCCAACAGACCGTGCGGAGGATGTGATGAAGAAAGATAAGCTTCGACAGACCGTGCGGAGCCTAAGGAACTAAGGCCCGTGCTTCGAAAGCACAAAGGCTTGTTCATTTCACTCGTAGCCTCCATTGAAGAGGCCGCCTGAGGCCTGAGAATAGAAGGATTGTCGGTTAAAAGATGATTTCCAGGCAGGTCAATGGCTCACCGCATCAAGGTTCAGTGTTTGATTCTAGATCTTTTCAATTTCAACAAGCGTTGATACTCAGCTGACATGCTCAAGGACATGCCTTGGGTTGGTGCCGTATCAGGGATTCTTACAATTGATCCTTGGTGATGATGTCGTGATAAAAATAGGTAGCTTCTCCAACAAAAAACAATCCACTGTAATTACTAGAGGTGTTGCAGAAGGGGCCAATCTTTTGAATCAAGATTTCACCCTCCCACGAGGGGCAAAACTCCCACCAACGAGGTGTTTAAACTCGATTTGCAGAGGTGCGATTGGCTCAACATCTGTGCTCAAAGCTGCCCTCGCGGAGTGTGCAGGTGCCGACACGTCCAGAGGTTCGTCCAAACGTGAGGTTGTGGGTAGCGCAGCATGGTTCAGGTTGCCGGTCAGGTGTTGTTTGAGGTTGGCTCACACAGATTTGCTCACTCGAAAACACGGTCATTGTGAAAACATAGGGTTAGCAGTTTTGCACAGCCCATTGACATGCATCTGAGTAAGGTCTTGAGGACTCAGAATGAGTGGACTTGTGGTCCGTCCTTGTACTCAACAAAGTATATTTTGACTACCCCTGAAACTTTTAGTATTGCTTACCTGGTTCTTTGTTTTCTTGCCATCTCTCAGATAACTAATGGGTTCAATTTACAGTGACCTAACATGACCTAACGATCTTAGCTCCCTGGGCTCTTGGCTACCAATTGTTTCGGACCGCTTTCCACGTTTCTTGTTTGAGATCGAAAGATCGTTCACAAGCGATGTTTTAAGTTTCCTTTATTAGAATGATGTTTCTACAAGCGTGTGGTGTTTGTGGAGAGGGCAAACGAAGAAGCTTAATTGAATTGCGTACTTCAATTTGATGAGAATAGACACTGTATAATGGTTGCGGCCCAAAGCCAGCGGGCCAAACACCAACGGACTCGGTCAAAAAGAGTTGGTTTTCCAGGGCAAGGCAGATGAAGGCCTCTTAGACTGCAGGAATTCTGGAAAACCCCGGGCGAGCCGCTTCAGGACTGCTTGCTGCAGGAGGAGGAGGCTCAGCAGCTGCTTCTCGATCTGCGCAAGCGCCTTCGGCCCCAGATACAGACCCCAGAGATTTCCAGATTGGGAAATGGATGTCATTTTTGGGTCCGAAAAAAGAAGTGAAGGCAGAAGTTCTTCACACTTGACAAACTACTGCATCATATCAATGCTTTCTCGAATCCCTTTCAGGTGCGCTCTTGCTAAAAGGGCAGCATACATGAACACATTCGGCACGTTTCGAACATGCATGGATCCATTCCCGGCATATGATGTGTTTCTAGCTTGCTGTTGGCATTTGAAGTCATGACAGGACTTGATGTTGCAAGAGACCGGGCATGTTGGGTTCACAAAACAGGGGACCCGGGGACCCAATGTTGGATCCTTTTTGATTGAACCGAATCAAACCCTTCTTGAACAGAATCAAATCTTTGGAATGGAGCCAGAGGGACCCTTTTTCTGAGCTCGTTTAAGGACCCTGCCGACCCTTCTTCCCACTGTTTCCCCCTCATTTGGATTCGTCAACCCATTGAACTTATGTACTGGAGCATGGAAATTCCGGAATGATTCGAAAAATCCAAACTAGGTTGATGTATATATATATATATCCAGTTCTGGAAGATCTAGAGGAACATGAAACACATCCGGATCAAACCAGATATTCCAGAAACTTCTCCAAGCCGGTGGCGTGGTTGGATAGATTACTCAGAGCTTTTGAACAATTTGAACACAAGGCACAGAAGCCACTTCAGGCGAGAGCTCACAGCAGGGGCCAGTTAGTAGTTTCGCATTGATCAAAATGCCTCCCCCAATGAAGCGAATCAACAAACACATCCATCTTGAATACATCAGCCCAGCCAATGTAGACTAGACTTTGTCCAGTCTAACATTAAAGGCTTCGGCTTCTTCAGCTTCCGGTTGATGGTCACATGGTCCCTGAGGACCTGGAAGCAAGCCCGCGTGCAGCTAGCAGAGGGAGATTACACCAAGAAATTGTCGGAGAAGGATAAGAAAGCAGGTGGGAGCAGCTTTGGACAGTCATGGAAAGATTCTCCTGTTACACTCGCTAGCATGAAGGCCACAAATGGGTTTGGTTTGGAATCCAGGTGGAGTGGGCAACAACTTCTGGCTGATCTGGGGCGGCAAGGAGCACCATCAAAAGCTCTTGAACCAGGCCTTCGAAGCGCTGCGAAAACCAGCGGGTGCAATCCAAGCAGGTAAGGGGTTCCAAACTTGAACTGGAGGGCAACTTTGCAAGAGAGCGTAAGGGTAACAAATGTGCAGGGGTACTGCAAACCTGCTTGGAGTTGAACACCAGGGAGAATCTGATGCAGCATTGACGGTGCTGGCTGGGGCTCACGGAATGGCTTCCGCACAATGCCAAGTGCCAGAACCTAGATTGAATGCTTGTGTGTTGGAAGGGGTTAGTGCTGAAAATGCAAATGATGTCTTAAGTGTCCCTGCCACATCTTAAGACAATCGGTCTTGGGACACTTGCTATAAGAAAACATGCTGCTAGTAATTCTACTTTCGTCAGAATGCTTTCCTTGGACTCATGAGGTCTCGTTTTGGGTGTCTTGTTTGCTAGCTACAAAGAAAGGCACCAAGATGACGCTATGCAATCTATGCAGGTGGACATGTTTGGAAGTTGGTGATGATCCCACGACCCATTCCATGCTCCAGCTTTGAAAGAAACGCAATACGAGTGGCAGGTCTTCAAGCAGCTTGCCCTTGATTGTGGGTGAAGGAGCAGATTGACGATGCTTGTGGGAGCAAAGATCACCTCTCCCTGAAACGACGATGGTTTGTTTCAATGACTGATTGGGAATGGAAGCCGGGGGAACACCAAATCTACAGTGAGGCCCCTCAATCAAGTGTTTTGCGAATGACAGTTGCAATTACGAGAGATGTATAGGGACCCCAAGTTGGAGAGTGCCCATTTGTTTTGAGCACCACGTGATGGCAGCTTTTTGTCAGTTCCCTCGACTTCTTTCGGACCCTGTGTCGGAATCATGTCCTTGCATTGTGGATTCAAGTTGTTCAACAAAAAGACCCAACATATATAAATACATTATGTGAACGTTCGCAGAGGAACACCGACAAACTCAGAGACCAGTTTGTTTGTTTTTTTCCTGAGGGTGATGTCCGCCCCCAGCAGATAAAATGATGCGATTTTGATCAGACTGATTAGACATTGGCACTGAGGGTGATGTCCGCCCCCTAGCAGATAAAGGGAGGCGATCGTTGATTAGACAGTGTTGGCACATGTTCCCCAAATACATCTCACTATAATTGCATAATTGTAGGTGAAGGTGCACAACATATGAGACACTTAGAGGGATTTTCTGTCTTCCCCACAGCCTAGGGCGATTGGAAAATCTGCATGGGCTTCGACTCCCGCCATCGTGGTGCCTGGGCTGGATGGTGGGATGAGGCGATGAGACCTGACTTGGTGGCGGTGCGATGGTCCCCATGGAAAGCAAAGAAAAACCCAAGATTATCAGTATCGTCTCACCAGGTTATCTACTGTGTTCATGGAAGAAATCCTGCCTGGAACCTGCAGAGTTCCACTGCCAATGAAGAAATGAGTTCTCTCCAGGACCGTTGGCTTTCTATTTTCGAGCAGTGCTGGGAGTTGGGGAGGGGTTGCGGTGCAGGCCCCCTTGCTTCCCCTGCTTCCTTGCCTATCCTCGTTTATCACGTTCTTTGCACTGCCAGAGTGGACGCATAATCTGCCCGCAACGGGCAGTACTCTTCCACCACGCCGACTCAGTAGTTTGCGGATTCCTTTTTGTTCCGACACTTATTACAGATACCTCCCACGAAACAAGTGGTGGTTTATGTGGAGAGTCGCCACAATAGCCTCTGAGATTTGATCGCGATTTGTTGCTTCGCATCGCGAGTCAGGACCTGAACCAAGCAAAGATGAAGCAGAGCTGGTCGGAAGATGGATGCTTGCCGAACGCGAAGAGCCCCTTGTGCCTCACCCAAGAAAGGTGCAGCGTCATTCCAAGAAATGGACAACTGAATACGTTTAAGAGATTAACATGTAGATTAACAGGGGACTGCTGCAGGGTACGCCAGCACAATTAGCCAGATTGCTGTATCCTTTGGCGATTGCCCTCCTTGAAGGTCCAGTTTCAGCAGCTTTGTTGAATTGATTTACTTTTGCAGAGGCTTGAATTTCCCTTGTCACTCTTGCATTGCATTTAGGGACCTGCAACAATGCTTTTGGATTGAGGATTTGTGCGATTCTCCATCCGAGGCACTACAGCTGTTCGAAAGATCGACCCTTGCTTGGTGCCATGGCAGGATGAGCGTTATGGGTTTGTCTCCAATAATGGAGATGCTCACAGCAAGACAAGTACACACCAATTTCAAAGCAAGGGATGAAGGCAGGACCAATATAAATGGCATGCTGCTACGCATTCTAAGCGACAGGTAGCCCCATATCCTCCCCAGACCAAGGGACAGAAGTGAAATCCTGCAACAAAGAGTCGAGATTTGCACGGCCAGTTTCCCTGCACATCGCTCCATCCATGTTATCCATTGCTTATTCTTCCCATCCTGCTCCAGACTGGAGCATCACCACCCGCCAGGTTGACAAGGATCTTCCTTTTTGAGGCATTTCTTTGAGGGAGGGCACGAAAAAGAAGAATCAGAAGGAAGAAAGAACCAAGAAGAAATAAGAAATAATGCACATAAACCAGGGATGGAAGGCCCAGTTTCCAACTGTTCCATCATTCCTGCACCTGTTATCCAATTCGGTTTGGTGACCTTTCCTTCCACCAAAGGTTATCAGAGGGGTGTCGGACATCATGAGAGACATAATTAAGGTGCGGAGGAACTGCTTTGCCGTGGCTACCCAAGAGACAAGCATCTCTTCTGCCACTTGGCGTGAAGACCACTCAATAAAGGCCTGACCAGGGAACCATGGCCATTGTTCATCTTGTAACACTGGGTACTCAATTTCACTTGTTGGATACCACCCCACGAGCTTTGCTTGCCATTGGTGTCAGGTTCTCTGTCCGACCAGGAGCAACGCTTCATGGCCGCGCAGGCTTCTCCCCTGCCGCTGCTGGGCGCCTCTCTCGCAGCCACTTGGCGGATTGTTACTGGAGGGGAAGTTGGGGCTTAAAGAATAACCGAACCACAGCTGGCCTTTTACATCCTTTTATCACTATTGTTTGGTTGATTGAAAGAGGGGGTGCCCCCAGGTGAAAAACCAATGGGTATTGGCAGTATATGGTTCCAAATCGACCCGTCTATGATTCCCCAAAGGACATTATTGAACCGAAGCCCCAAACCAGAACGCCAGGCCTGTGCAGGTTGTTGCCAGGTGTTTGTTTGTGTCTTTCCTAAAACGGTCGATTTCCGGGAAATTGACCTGATTCACGTTCGCCGTTTCAGGTGGCGCAGTCCACAAGGGTGGATTTTGAAGATCTTGCAAAACACCTGTGAGTCTATTCCAAGTCACATGAGCCACCTGAAAAACACACGTGGTGCTTTAGTAAATTGTAGAAATGGTCACCTCCCAAACTCCCGCATGAGCTGGGAGACCAAGCTGAGTATTATAATAGCCTGACTGCTTTAAGGCTTAGTAACACCATGTGCAAAATTTTTGCATTATTTTTGCATTCTGCGCATGCATTCTGTGTGGATATGTGTTTTGAGAGTGCGTTCTGCACATGCATTCTGTGTGGATATGTGTTTTGAGAGTGCGTTCTTTTGAGCGGAAAAAATCTGATAGTTTGTTTAGATCAGTTTACAAATAGATAGTTTGCTGGTAAATTCAGAGCTTTTAAAAGACAGTTTGCTGTTCCAATTCCTTCATTTCCTGTTTTCCTTATTTCCTCGGCCCCCCTGTCCGGGATATAACATCGTCGACTGGGCCAAGGCCCAAGGCTCACAGGACAATGCAAAAAATGCACCACCAAAAGAACATGCAACACCCAACAAAAAATGCAAAAACAATGCAAACCATGCTTCACGAAAAGCGGTCTTTGTTTTCTTGAGCCAAACACGCAGGCAGTTAAGCCTGTGGTCTTGTGTACCTAGTTGTACACTTCTCGTTTTGTGCGTCCTGTTTCAAGATCCGCACTCCCCCCGTCCTTTTCAGGACGTCTTCACATCTGCCGTGATCCCCTTCGGATCAAAAACAGCGAAAATCCGACCCATGTTCCGGGTCCACTCAGCTCAGCTCGGCGCCAGTCGCTGTCCACGATGACTCTTCGATGCCACTCGCTGCCCTTCCATGCGATGGTAATTCGCATGAACTCCAAGTTCGCAATCTCCTCCGGGCAGCTGCGGTGTTCTGGATGGAACCTCTGCACCCGCGCACCACCATGGTGGCGGACCAGCCACCTGCAGCCATCCATGGTCAGGTGATCCCACCTGTCGCTCTTGAGCGTTGGCTTGTAGAACAACGCTTCCTCCTCCACCAGGTCCTGCACGTCGTTCAGGATCTGAGGTGTCCAGAACACGGAGTCCTGGAACTCCAACTGATCATCCATCATGCCTCCAACCGGCATCATGAGTTGCGCCGGTGGGGCCTTGCCAGGTCTGTTCCACGGCCTGTCGGCCGCCGGTTGCTGCATTCGCTCCAACGTAGGAGGTCCCGTAGAGCTCAAACTCCTCGCTGCTGCTGCCGATTTGGAAACTCCTTGGAGAGTGGTTCCCGCAGCTTTTGAGGTGTGCCCCATAGCGGTCCCCATAGCCTTCGAAGATGCCATCGCTGCCTGTCCTCGCTCAGCAGCTTCACTTGGCCTTGACGACCCACTCGATATAGCCCCCCCATAACCACGTGGTTGAAAGGGTACAGGAGGTTGTTTAGGAGGTGGCACTTTGCCGGTGGCGGAGACTTCACCACCAGCCGTTCATTTGGGATGAGGCGAATCGTCTGGGTCTCCATGTCCACCTCTTCTGGACGCAGCGTCCGGATGCCCTCGCTGGTGACCACCATTGGTGGTCTGGTCACGTCGTAGATGCCCGCGTCCATGGCCTCCTGCGTCACCCTGGAGTTGGTATAGCGCACCTCTTCCGGCTGCCCTTGATCTCCTCCAAGCCATTCACGACCACCTCGGAAGACAGCCGGCAGCCTCATCTGGATGCGTCCCCACACGCCATGGCTCGCGTTCGCCGCCTCCACCTCGAACACAGTGGAGTTGGGAGCCTCTAGGCTACGGTCGAAACCCCCAGGGCCTTCAGTTTCCGAGACCCGT